TACACTTTTCTATCGACGGCTCGTGTTGGACCCAAACTTCGTGACCAAAGTCCTCCCCAAGCATGGAAAAAAGGCTTTCATGGTCATTTAGAGAAAGCATGAAGGCCTAGGACAGAGAAATTGCTCGTTAAGGATTCGTAAAAGAGCATTAAAATGTTCGTTTGTCCATTCGAATGAAAAAAGAATAGTAACTATATTTGATGGCCGGTGTTGCATTGCTAATCTCGCGAAACGCATTTGTGAATCTAGCGACATTATTGTACATTCTAACGGTGGTAAAGCTGCAAGAACCCTCATCCCTGTATTCCTGAATATGCTTTTAGCTTGTACAGTTTAAAGAGCACAGAAGTGAAAAATATGCAAGCAAAGCATTGTTTCCGAAGAAGTCCGTAACATAGTACCATCATTGTGCTCATTTGTCTCTGGGCAAAGTCAAATGGAAAGTATTCATTGAATGGCCCGGATGGATAAACTGAATCTGGTCTTGGCGAATTCGCTCATGCATTGCTCCAGTCGTTTAAGCAATAGGTCAAAGCGAAAAGTCATTCTTCAGTAAATTTCACAGTTTCGCTTTTAGTTTCGTCTGCCTTAGGAAAAACTGAAGACTATTCTGAATCCTTGTAGGCGTATTTAGTGTGTCAAACTAGAAATGACAGAGTAGGAAATATACTCCAAATCTGAGCTATTTTTTACGATATGACATGGTTGCTAAAGCAATAGGAAACAGTAATCAAACCGTAAAAAATATTGATGAAAGATTTTTTTGAAAGGATTTGTAAACTAATCATCATCTCCTATACCCGACTCTTATATTGTCGGTGAGTTTATCAAAAGTTATTTTAAGAAAAGTGTTTATCTTTAAAGACAGAAATGAATGAGGCTTTATTAGGGCTTCACTTGCATACCCAAGAGGGTCTGAATGTAAACAGGTGCTCGATTGTATTCCTCTCTCCCGATATAAGTGCATAGTTTCCTTCCTATTGTAGCCTAAATCAAACGAGCATAAAACTGGTGAATTTGCTTGCATACTACTCATGTTTAAATTTTTAAGTAGTGCTAAAGACAAAATCTAAGAACAAATGAAAAAAATTATTTATGTTTCGTTTATAAGTAGGCTTTCTATGTAAGCAGTAAATCATAAGAATACCTGTTGGTAAATTCAATGCAAGCGTAAGGTCCACTCTTCTGATTGTAGGAAAACTCAACTGAAATAGGGTGAAAACATCTCATATAAATCAAATTATTGCCGAATATATTAATTAGTATGTTCATTGCATCGATAAGTTAGAAAATCTAGCTGAAGTGAAAGTGTGCCCCATAGAAAACATAGTCATGCCTTAATTCCCTAACATATCCAACTCCATTTTCACAGTTAATTATGGTAGAAATGCCTCGAAGACCCACACAGCATGGGATTTGGACTAGAGTCTCCTTAAGTCAGCTTACCGTATACAACAGGCAGTCGAAGCTTGGAAAGACCCGCAGCCTCCATCGAGTTTTCAGACTCCTCATCGGCATCTATACCGCCTGCGTTTAGATGGAATCTGCTTCTGGTAGGCCGAGCTTCAACAGCTTCGTCTGGTTCCTCGATCTCCACTACTTCGTCATTTTCATCGTCTTCCTCATCCTCGCATACATCTCCATTTTCCTCTTCTTCCTCTTCTTCTTCTTCCTCCTCTTCTTCTTCTTCTACCCCCTCGGCATCTTCTTCATCTTCATCTTCTTCATTTTCTTCCGATTCCACTCTGCCAGATAGTACTCTTGCCAAACTCTCTTCTTCCTCTTCTTCCTCATCCTCGACGTCCTCCTCATCTTCATCGCCCTCTGTCTCGGCCAAATAGTTTTCCTCCTCTTCATTGTTCTCTTCTGCTTCGTCTTCTGCTTCATCCTCACCATTCGAGGTTTCACCCTCCGTTGAGACGACCATCCCAACAAGTGGGCTTGGACTGTACATCGCAGGCTGACCCAATCTTGTCGGTGCATTGGCGTTGAAGCTGCGTAGTCCGAGTCCGGTCTTCGAGCCCGAAAGGCCTCGGACTGTCGACTGACGCGATGCTAGAACTGATTCCAGACCGAGTGGAGTTGAATGCGCCTGGGAGGCTGTATGTGTCGGCGAGTCGCAAACACGACCAAGCCTTGGGTCACCAGTCGACGCCATCTGCTGCATGGTCATGGTGGCCTCAGAAATTCCATTTTGTGCTAGGCCTGATGGCGCCGAAACCAACGGTGATGCTAAGGAAGAGCCAATAGAGGCTGATGGTGAATAGGAGGAGGTGTTGGAATAGCTGCTAAGGCCAAGGTTTGTGGTGCTGATGATGTTCGGTGGGCCGGAGACTATGATACTGTTCACTCCGGGACCTGGCAACAGCGAGGGTGGTTGTGAGGATGATGAGGTCAGCTGGGCTGCAAATGGGATCGGGAAAAAAAGAAAAATGCTTCCTTTTTTAAGCGGAGATTGTAACTTCATTAAATTTGTGATCGCTATAAATCTTAGTCTTAGGTCCTGTTATAAATATAAATAAATAAATTTATTTATTTATTTATTACACTGAGCTTCATATGCTACTACAAAGTCATTGTTTTCTTTATCGAGCCAACTTCCATGATTAAAGGAAATCATATTTTTACATCTTTTGGCCGTCAGTGTTATCCAAAAGACAAGTTTTTTATCTCAAGGTAGCGGCTTTTAAAATAAGAATATAAGTTTAATTCAGCCATTTAGAGTGATCTAATGTCGGATTGTCAAATGTATATGTGATTTTAAAAGCGAGCCGGGTCTCTCAAAAAACTTCTGCATTTCTTTTATTCTATCCTCAGGACAAAATGACTGTTGCAGGAAAACTTGGCAGAACCGACTCAAACTTTTCGACTTCAAACTTTAGCCTTAGAAATTGACGAAGGTTTTGGTGAAATCGGAGATGACACAATCGGTGAAACTGCAAATTACCAAGAGCTAAATAAATTGCCCTCAAATTCCTCTGTCGTCACGACTTCATTCCATTTAAATCTCTTTTTTTTCTGATGTCAACTTTTGTGATTAAAGGAAAACATATAGTTATATCTTAAAGCCTAGATCGTGTAATCTGTGGCCGTCTTATTCTTCTTTTTCCTCTTCTCTTATCCTGCATTTGAAACAACATGGCCGCTTCAGAAGGACTTAGGAGAACCGACCCTAATTGTTCAGCCCAAAACTTTGGCCGTATAAAATATTGAAAGTTTTTTTTCGAAATCGGAGCCAACATGATTAGTGAACGGACAAGAGACTCCAAACTAGATAGGTCTTCTAGCCATGCTAAAACTTTCATTTCAGAATTGAATCATTCCAGGTTGTCTAAGCTGATTTTAAGTTTGGACAATGCAATTTTTTACCACAATTTAATGAATAAACCAATAAATCTTAATTAGCTTAGCCTCGAAACAGGTTTAGACGTTAGTTTTGATTCCACCTAAGTCCTATCAACACACGGTTTTGAGCATCTTGACGTCAACTCCCATTGGTAGTAAGAGGCAAGGCTAAGTGAAATTCTGTGGGAGTGGAAGTGTGGAAAAAACTCCAACAACGGTCTTTAACATATGTGAAATGTGTTCATCCTATATCGCGTAGGGCGGTGAGGGAATTGGTAGTTGAATTTTTCCCAGATAATATGAGTAGACCTGACTTTTCCACTGAATTTCACATAGCCTTACTTTCCCAAAAGATATTCTCATCCAGAGGTGACTGCAGTTTCCACCTCGCCTACATCTTATCAAAACCTCCATCGGGACTCGTACCAAGGCACCGCAGCGTATAATCTCGAAACGTCGGATGAGACACTAAACGGGGTAGGATGCATAAATCGTCATTATAAGATATACTCGTAGTCTTGAAGTCCCACTTTCAAACGGAAAATAAGTACTGTAATCAATTGCTATGACAATCGCAATACAGAATGCGATATGGGAAAATGCCTGGCCTTCCTGAATTTCGTATCTGTCCCGTGACCCAAGGGCACTCGTTGCATTGGAATTGAACGCTGCATTGTCATGGTTCGAGTCCCGCTGTGTGTTGATAAGACCTAGGCGAGGTCGAAACTGCACTTCATTCTGTATGAAAATACTTTTTGGGAGAGCAAGGCTATGTGCAATTCACTGGAAACGTCATCTAAACTCATTTCGTTATGGGAACATTCAACTAATAGTACTCTCAAAAGCCCACTTATAAACAAAAAATAAGTTCTTCAAATCACCCGAAACCAAATGGGATGATAAAGCAATTGTTTATGCATCAATGATTCCTCATTTCGCATACCTATTTTGGCATTTTGATGTGTCAAACTTCTCTGGTTATCATCTTAAACGAAATATGGTGAATACATCTCATATTACTGATTTACTGGAAGTCTCAAATCTCTACTTACATACGAAAACTAAGTAACGCAGTCGATTTTTATAGCAAATATACGTTTGCCTCATCGACAGTCCCACCAAAGAATGTGGCATGGCCTTCCTTGAAATTCACATCTGCCCTGTGGCAATGTGGCCGAGTGGTTGATGTTTCAAGCTCACATTCTACGTTGTCACAGTTCGAATCCCGTCGGGGGTGTTGATAAGACCGATGCCAGGTCGAAACTGCAGTTAACCGGTGCCTGGACGAGAACAAATTTTGGGAAAGCAAGACGATGTGAAATTCAATGGAAACGTCCCACTCATAACATTGTGGGAAAATTCTACTACCAGTCTTTCATAATCTTAAACGAAATAGGCCGAATACATCTCATATTACTGATTTACTGGCAGCCTCAAAACTCTACACACATACGAAAAATAGACTTTTTAAGCAATATTATGCAGAAAGTATGACCTGAAAATTCATGAAGAGTGATTTTCATGCTGACCATAATGGCTTAAACCGAATCACGCAAGTATTCCATCAAAAAGCTTTTACAAGATGAGTCGTTATTTCATCTTTCTCGTGTTGTCAGGGCGACTCAGTTCGACCCACCTTGTCCGAAGTCCTCTGCCCCAGTCATCATAATTCCCGGCATCACACCGTGGACTTGGTACCTTCCCATGCTAACTATACAGTAGCAGAGGAGTTCGGACAAGCTGTACCAACTAGGCCACCTTGACAACAAGACTAAGTTGCGTGCACGAGGTCGACAGCGACCCTCCGAAGGTCAGACCAACTTGATCTTCACATCTTCGAAAAGTGATTTTAGTTATTTGTTAACTCAAGCCTACTATCCTACCCAGTTCTTTCAGTGCAAAGATGTCGGCTTTACCAACTCGTTGCATTCCTCCAACATCCAATTCTCCGGCTCTCGAGCGTCTCTGTCTTTTGGCCGCTGGCGGCTGACTCGACTTTGTGCGTCCGTGGTCTCGTTGAGCGCTCGTCTGGCAGGACAACATGCTCGGCTCCCCAGTCACTTGTTGTCGTGCGAGTTGTTGACGAGCCGTACCAAAACCATCGCCTCTGGCCTCGCTACCAACAGTCCGGAAGACATTATATCCCTCGAGCGCACCCTTGACTCCAGCCGTAACTCTCGTGGCGGCGAATTTGGCAACATGACCGCTCGAGGCACCGGCTGCCGCTTTGTTCACGTCCGGCAGGCTTCGGCAAGCGGGATGGTGCGTGGTTACCGTTTTTGCCCGACCAGACACGGTCCCCGGAAGCGGAGTCCACCGCTTCGCAGCAGCATTCGGAGCTGGACGCAAAAGTTCCGCCCCTCGGCCAGACGGAATGGGCCAGACGGTCTGTCTTGTCGAAACCGCCTGACGAGGCACGAGGCGACCGGTACCAAAAGACGCATCCTGCGGTCCGTAGGTACCTCGACTTTTCGTCAGCTGTCTCTTCTGTCCAGAGTAGTTACCTTAATTTCAGAGTTTAACAAGGGAAAATAACTCTTAAAGTCATCAATTAGCAACCGTTCCTTTTTTTCGGTCGGTAGAGGAAAAGTAATTTTATTTTAATTTGATTCGACCTCGTTCAAGCAATATGCTCGTGTTGCCAAGGTGACCCAGTTTAGCATCCTTTGTCCTCAGTCCGCTGGCATAGTTGTCAGGACAACTTACAACGTCGAACTGTAGACCCTGAACCAATGCATGTGAAATGTCTGGGAATATACGAAGTCCACATGTGGATGTTGACAATTATCATGAATACGCTTGGCAGAAGATCTCGAATAAGGTGACCTAAAAATCACGACCAAGTTGCGAAAACGAGGTCAAACCACTTTTATTTTTCCAGTCTACCCAACACTCGAAGTGCTAGCCGGTAGAAAGAACGGTCAATTTGCGGATCAGTAGAATGTTAAAAGATCTCTGAAAGGTAAGCAACAGAAGCCACCTACCGAAACTCGATTGTTTGACAACATTTCAGCCTCGCTTAGGAGCTCCAAAAAGACTTTCTTGCAGGGGATCAGGAGAGTGATGAAGATTGGAGAAATCTGTATACTTTCGTACGCAAACAGCAAAGCAAAGATACATTTTTATATCCCAAGGGAGTGGATTATAAAACAATAAGCAGATACTGAATAAGAATTTAAGCTACATTAGATTTTTTAAGGTAAGATAGGGTCTGGTAGTTGGGTTTCAACTTCGTGGATGACAATGCATGTGATATTAAAGACAAGCCAAATCTCTTCCAACTCACATATTTATTATAAATATGCGTTAGGAAGACTCTTATAACTTTAGATAAGAGCATTTTAAAAGACAATTTTTGAACTGGCACTTGACACGCCCAAGGTGATTCAAGAACTTATTATCAAATTTGCCATCAATGAACCGAGAAGATCAAAAAATGCCACAAAATTCACCTTAGTCTCGTTTCAAGAAATATTCCTCCGTTCAGAGTCGATGGAATTTTTATTGTTGGAAATATTGTCTTTCATCTAATTTTAATCGGCTTAGGATTACTGAAATAGTTATTCAAGAATGACGGTCACTTTATGCTTCATATTTCTTAATCGCTCGAAAATGCTTTCATGTAACCAGAATGCGAGTACATATCTAGACTCTGTGATCTAAGAGCATCCTGATGAAGATTAGACGACTCTCCAAAAAGCGTTTTCTCATTTCAATTGCCATATGAGACCGTTGCCAACGTTGGCGATAATCCCAACATAAAACTGCAGGATTTTATGCCTTTATTACTGAGTTTATTTAAAAAAACAAGGGAGTGACTTTAATTTCTTTAATATGAGATGTGTTCATTCTATTTCGATTGAAGTGATGAATTATTTACTGAATATATTATTATATTATATTATATTATATTATATTATATTATATTATATTATATTATATTATATTATATTATATTATATTATATTTTATTATATTTTATTATATTATATTATATTATATTTTATTATATTTTATTTTTTATATATATATAATATTATATATTACTTAATATATTATATGAATATTCAGGCGTCATGTAAAGCCTAAAGAGCCAACTCACTCATATTTCCCACTTTCTCAAATCCCGCAGGAAAAGCTCTTGTCATTTAAATTATTTCAATATCAGTCGGGCCAAACTGCACTTTCTATTAAGCCTTAGTTACACAGCCTCCTGTTGTCACCTTAAGAGGTGGGCAACTGTGGCATGTTA